ATGTCTGTTCAGGTCCTTTGCCCATTTTTTAATTGGGTTGGTAGTTTTTTTGTTGGTAAGATGCATGAGTTCTTTATATATTTTGGAGATTAAGCCCTTATCAGAAGTATGGTTTGCAAATATCAAAACTTTTTGATATTTTTGATGAACTTCCCCCCAAATTAAAGTCTTTCTTTTGACTTAAAAAAAGGAAACTTTGAGAATTTCCAACTAGCCCTGGGACTTCTTAAAGAATTTGTTCTCTCTTTCTATAAAAAGGAAGATATTAACTAATTAGACTTATTTGGTACATTAAATTACATGGGAAGCATTATCAAATAAATGATTATAAACTTTCCTAGGTTATATTGTGTGGATAAATGTTATTAACCTAAGAGTTTTTAAAAAATTATATAACATTGCAAAAATTCTGATCTGTCCTGGTTGTAGGTCATAATTCTAGTTATGATCTCAAAGTGTTGTATGTCACAGAAATAGCGAAGTGTCTTTGCAAATTGCCATTTTTTTTAAAGATTTTATTTATTTATTTATTTTCCCCCCAAAGCCCCAGTAGATAGTTGAATGTCATAGCTGCACATCCTTCTAGTTGCTGTACGTGGGACACGGCCTCAGCATGGCCGGAGAAGCGGTGCGTCGGTGCGCGCCCGGGATCCGAACCCCAGGCCGCCAGCAGCGGAGCGCGCACAGTTAACCGCTAAGCCGCGGGGCTGGCCTGCCATTTTTTTTTTTTAGTGTTATTTTGCAGATAGTTGTTGTTTTACTCTGATGTTTTTGCAAATGTTTCACCTTCAGAGAGATTCATGGAAAGGACTCTGACACTTACTTTAGAATATAGGTTTCTGATAAACTTTCAGATCGTAAAACTGAAGTAGGTAAAGAATTACAGAACTCTAACAGAGAAACTGACGAGTTCGTGAAACTGCTAGCAGAAGATTAAGATCAAGAATTGATTACAGAGGACTGAATGAACCGATGAAGATGATTATAATTTTTATGACTTCATTGGAGATATTGCTGACTTTTTTGATGTTTTGTTTTTTCCAGATTTAAGGAAACCTTTTTCTCTTTCTCTTAAGCTAACTATGACTTATAGCAATTTGGTTAAATTATACCTTTGTAAGCAGAATTGAAACAATTATCTATTTCTCTCCCTATGTGATCCCTCCAGAATTTGGAAACTCTTAGTGAGTGAGTATTATTCTCATGGCAATATAGTTATTTGCATAAGTTCAATAAGAATCTGTTCTCTTTATAGCAAGACACAGTTGGAAACACTGGTTATATTACCAAAGCTTTGATTGGAATGTCATATTTGAGAGAAACATGCAGACTCAGATATGACAAGACAGCTTTTGAGGAACAAATGTTGACTTTATGGAATAAAGCCACCTGGAAATATTAGCCTGGTATCTTGCTTACAAGGTTTCCATCAATCTTACCAGGTGAGTAAAGAAGGTCACTTCCCTGGAAGGTGCAAGAACATCAGGATATTTGAGGGAATCTCAAGAGAGGAGAGGAATCCACCCAAATCTAAGGTATTGCAGGCAGAGTCTGATGACAAGCCCTTGGTATGGCTTTCCTGGCCTCAGAGGCCTTTAAAGTTCAATCTGAGATTCCTTATAAAAAGTTTCAGCAAAGCAAATTTAAAAGAGCCTATATGTTCAATCGCTATTCTTGCTGTACTTATGTAAATAATTGGGCCAAGTTTATTGAAACTAGACTTATTTTGCCAACCAATGAATCTTATTTTGGCTATCTTTGGTAAAAATGAGGGTGATTTTAGAGAGAAAAATTACGTTTCAATAGAAACTATAGTACACATTCATGGATATTAGGTTCTAGTTCTAATAATTGTCTTTGAGATTTTGTTTTATATCTGTTAAGTGGACTGGATCCTGAATTCTTCTAGTCTCCTGAAATATCTGGCTACGTATCTTCAAACTAATGTTTTCAATTTTTTCCATCATTTTCATTTGGAATCATTGAGAATTGAACCTGCCCTTTTTCCTGAAGCCTTGCAAACTGAAGCTGGACAACTTGATATAAACATAAGCGAGATTCATGTCTGTTGCTGTGTAAGCCACTCAGAAAGATGCCTGAACACTCGAGGACATCATCAGAGACATTTCAAACTGCAAAAGATGCTTTGACTCTGACATCTAGAGATCTTTTTTGGGTGAGGAAGATTGGCCCTGAGCTAACATCTGTGCCAAACTCCCTCTATTTTGTATGTGGCACGCTGCCACAGCATGACTTGATGAGCAGTGTGTAGGTCTGCACCCAGGATCTGAACCTGTGAACCTTGGCCTGCCGAAGCAGATATGCGAACTTAACCATTACACCACCAGGCCGGCCCCTAGAGATCTTCTTGACTTGCTGCTCCCTGGGCTCAGAAACTGGTTTAGAATTTGCTCCCACCATTAACCTTGTTTTGCTTTTTGTTTCTCCAGAAATGCTTCTTATTAAATATCCGGTTACCTGCTTAAACAGTATAGTCTTAACTTTGGGAGCCCACCTGCATCACTGTCTTACCAAGAGACTAGTTCAATGAGATGGAATAACCTATGCCCCTCATCAGCAGGATAGCCCTCAAGATTGAGGATGAACAACAAAAGGGAGGAATTGGTACTGGCTCAACACAAGGTTGACACAAGGGAAACCATATTGTAGAAAAGAAACCATTCTGTAACTTTGAATGACCTCTGATTAACTAACTCAGCTAGGTATGAACCCTCTGGGAGATATACATGCTCTGTAGATTTTATGGCCCCTCCCAGCTGTGATAAGATGATAACTTTGTTCTTTTGAGTTCCCTAGGAATGTGATGACCCCCGAGCAGAGATTCTATGCTGATATCCATGACAACTGAAAGATCTGGTGTGGTGACTCCCAGTCTGTAACACCAGAGAGTCAACATTGCTAACCCCCATACCTATAACTCACTGGCCTACATAATTGCCTCAAGATTCTGTGCCCCCTTTAAAATGGTTCTTTAGGACACTAGTCCCCCATCTTCTGATTTGCTAGCTTATTGCTTAATAAATGCGATTTCTCTGCCACCGTCTTGCCTCTTGATGATTGGCTTTTGTCTTGTGGCAAGAAGATCATGCCCTCTTCGCCATAGCAGGAGGATGATGGGCCACTTTGACTTTGGTCGGCTCGCCTGTGGGGTGAGCACCACCTGCCTGGCAGGATGGCTCTGGCCCCATCTCAGGATGTGACTGCAGAGGACTCATTTCCTCTTCCTGTGCTCTCTCCCAAGCCCCATGGCATCCTGCCCCATCCTGCAGAAGGAGAAAGTGTTCCAGTCTGGAGCCCATGCCTACAGAATCCCTGCTCTGCTCTACCTGCCTCAGCAGAAGACCCTGTTGGCCTTCGCAGAAAAGCGGAGGAACAAGAAGGATGAGCATGCAGAGCTGATCGTCCTGCGCAGAGGAAGCTATGATGCATCCACTCACCAGGTCCAGGTAAGGCAGGATGAGGCTAGAATTGCTCTGCCAGGAAGACAGGAACCATTCCATTCTTAGCTCACTGAAAATTGGGGGACAGAGGGAGAAGATATATTGAAACTCAAGAGGGACCCAGGGACCTAGCAGGGATAGAGCAGAGAAGGTGTTCCCAAGTGATCACCCAGATCTCACTTGGGTTCACCATGAACAAGTCCAGCTGGGCTGGCTGCATCTGCTTTATTGCTTGACTGGACAGTCATTCAAGGAAACCGATGTTCAGAAAAGTTTCCCTACGTCCCTGAGAACCTGAGGGAGGAGTAGTTCAGTATCACATGGGGGGTTGTATCTTTGAGTAAAATTAACCTGGGGAGCAGGGTAAGGGTTGGGGTGATTGCTCACATCTTGAAGTTACAGCATATAGGTCAAGTAATTAATTTTGACGAAGACACCCAAGGCTGGCTTATCACATATGAAGGGTTTAATATTATTATCATTACTTTGTGGTCATTATTACGTGAACCTGGGTTCAAGTCCTGGTTCCATCACTTGCCAGAGGTATGGCCTTGGGCAACTCATCTACCCCATATGAGCCTCTCATTCTTCAGATGTAAGATGGAGCTAATAACACCTGTCCCTCAGGAGGTGGGGGTTAGGGTTAGATGAGACAATGGATGTTAGGCTCTTGGCACAGTGTCTACCCTTAGAATCACTCATTAGGAGATGGCTCTTAATGAATGGGGATAGATGGCAGAGCTGCAGCGTATATGACATAGACCTAAGGATTATGGAAGCTCAGTGTGAGTCCTTAGTGTCATGGTGCTGTCCCTCCTAGGCTGCATCAATAGAGTGTGATGTATAGAAGATGGGAGGTGATTGTCATATTCTGTCCCACGCTGGTCAGACTGTCATAGTTATCACTAGGACTTTACTTTCCAAGAGTAAGAAGCTGGACTGGGCTGGTAAGTTGAAGGAACCGGGATGAAGCTGGGAATGGCTCGTGCCTGAATCATCTTTGTATCTTGGGTATTACATCTAGCACATCGTAGGTGCTCTGTAAGTTTGTTGGTGGGAATGGAAACAACAGCTGTTCAAATGAAGAGTGGGCTGCCATGGAGGCGGTGAGGTGGAGCCCTGGCTCCCACAGCTTTGGGGAGGTGTCGTATGGATGAATGAATGCTGGATGAAGAGTTCTCTTTGGTGACCTTTGATTCTTACCCCATGAGACACACAGCCCACACAGAGTGTCACTGTCACTGGCCATTTCAAGGCTGTTTCTTCTCTCTCTCTCCTCACATTCAGTGGCACACTCAGGAAGTGGTGGCCCAAGCCCAGCTGGAGGGCCACCGATCCATGAACCCGAGCCCCCTGTATGACGAGGAGACGGGGACCCTTTTCCTCTTCTTCATTGCCATCCCCGGGCAGGTCTCCGAGCACCACCAGCTCCAAACCAGGGTCAACGTGACGCGGCTGTGCCAAGTCACCAGCACCGACCATGGGAGGTCCTGGAGCCCCGCCAGTGACCTCACGGACTCCGTCATTGGTCCGGCCTACAAGGAATGGGCCACTTTCGCAGTAGGCCCGGGGCACTGTCTGCAGCTGCACGACGAGACGCAGAGTCTGGTGGTGCCCGCCTACGCTTACCGGAACCTCCATCCCCTCCACAAGCCTTCCCCCTTCGCCTTCTGCTTCATCAGCCATGACCATGGGCACACGTGGCAAACAGGGAACTTTGTGGCCCAGGACACCCTGGAGTGCCAAGTGGCTGAAGTTGGCAGTGCAAAACAGAGGGTGGTGTATCTGAACGCTAGAAGTCTCCTCCGAGCCAGGGTCCAGGCTGAGAGTGACAATGACGGGCTCAATTTCAAGGAGACCCAACCAGTGAAGAAGCTCGTGGAACCTCCCTATGGCTGCCATGGCAGCATTGTCAGCTTCCCCAGCCCCACTGCAGAGTCAGACTCCTCAGGCAAGTGGCTGCTCTACACTCACCCCACTGACCCCCACCATAGATCCAACCTGGGTGTGTACCTCAACAAGCGGCCCCCGGCCCCTGCGGCCTGGTCGGAGCCCACTCTCCTGGCCGAGGGCAGCTGTGCCTACTCAGATCTCCAGGGCATGGGGGCGGGCCCCGATGGATCACCCCAGTTTGGGTGTCTGTATGAATCGGATAATTACGAGGAGGTTGTCTTCCTCATGTTCACCCTGAAACAAGCCTTCCCAGCTGAGTTTTTGTCTCAGTGAGCCCACTGCATGCTGTCTGAGAAGGGTTCCCACTCGCGTGGAGCCTCCTTTTCTTCTTATGCCCTGACTGAGAGGCTGATGGTTTTCCTTTTCTCCCCGTGCCCTCCAGACTTGGGAGACCAGCCGTTGCTTCCCTTCACTGAGAGTGTGCAGAGAGGTCTGCCTCTTTGCTCTTTTCCTCTTTTGTTGTTTCAATCTTCTCAGAGGATTCTATTTTCAGCCCAGAAACCGAAGGAACCTGGCTTCCTGGGGCCCCTTGACAGGGAAGGCACAGAGAGCTCTGCACGTTGGCTTTCATTCTGCACAGTGGCTGTCACTCTTCACGGTGGCTGTCACTCTGCACATCTCAACCCGCCTGCTCCCCACGGCCCTAGCTTTTGCGCAGGTCTTGATAAATTATCTGGTCCAGCCCATTTCTTCTTGGGAAATGCTCATCGTGTTCCTGGGAAAGGGCTGAGACACAGATGTTAATAAATTAGCAGAGGTGTGTGTGTGAGTGTGTGTGTGTGTGTGTCCTTGATGACGCTTTAGAGCAGACAGCACGGGGAACAGCTTTGCAGGGAGGGAAAAAAGCCCGAAGTCCAAAATCAAGGTGTCTGCAGGACTGTGCTCCCTCTGAAGGCTCCAGGGGAGAACCCTTGCTGGCCTCGTCCACCTTTTGGTGACCTAGGTGTCCCTTGGCTGGTGACTGCATCATTTGAATGCCTCCGTCTTGGAATGGCTTTCCCCTCCTTCCCTGTGTTTTCTCTTCCGTCTTTTATAAGGACACTTGTCATTGGATTTAGGGCCCACCTGGATAATCCACAATGCTCCTTCACTTCATTACATCTGCAAAGACTCTTTTCCAAATAACGTCACATTCACAGATTCTAGGGGTTGGGACGTGGATACATCTTTTGGGGGCCACCATTCAACCCACTGCAGTCATCATAAGTTATTTTTGTATAGATGATGTGGCTAAAGGTAGGAATGAAATTCAGATGAATCAGACAATTCAGAAGAATGGAGGGGGCGGGAGGGGTTGGGCTGTTGGATGTGCCCCTATGGCATGGTGCTGCTCTGGGACACTTAGTCTTTTTGATGACAGGTGTGTCACCGTGTGGAGGCAAAGGGGCTGTGCTGTGATTGTGTAGTTCTTGTCATATAGAAAGAACAGGGTGACAAACTGAGGGGGGCCTGGCCTGGGTGGAGGATGCGGACATCTCTCTGACCCCGGGGTCTTTAGGGACCTTTGTCACATGCCCCTGTGGAAGAGTGGACTTGCCCCCCAACCCCCATCAGAGCCCCTCTAATCGACTCTCCTACTGATTGGATCAATCCAATCGTTTGATGACAGGCGATCAATGACGACAGCCACGGTTCTTGCATTTGAGCCATGTCTCTGTGTGGCCAGGCAGTGGTTAAACAGAATCTTCAGTGTGGGGAGCTGGAGGTGTGGCGTTGGTTCTGGGTGTGGTTCCCGACACAGGCCTCCTATCTGGGTGCTGCTTCTCTGTGTGGGGTTTTAAGAAATCCAGCTGGAAGGATGAAGACTCAGGGCCTGATTATTGCTGGGATGGAAAGTTAGACCCCTCTGTTTTGGGGATGCCCATCTGGTGTCTTCCAAAACCCACAAAGGTAGCTGTGGTAGGGGGGTAGCTGAGGAGGGTGAGGACGAGGGCACGCAGGCCAGGGGCAGCACACCCTCAAGATGTTTAAAGGTAGGGTGGCCCTGTAGTGTATTATCCAAATAGGGACACTTTCCAGAGTGACAGGAGGATGTTAGTAATAATTACACCAAGACAAAGGGCATTAACCAGGACTGTCCCAGACAAACTGAGAGGTTTAAGAGAGGAAGACCCACCGAGGACTGTGCCTGGAACTGGCCTCTGCTAACCACCCTGGAAGAGCCAATCATCTGTGAAGGGTCTTGAGATGAGGCAGGAACAGGATAGGACATCTGGCCACTGCCAAGCAGAACGTCACTCTCTTAGACTGTCTCATTCACAGAGGTCAGTGTGTCTCAATTCCCATGCTGGTTAGAATTCTCTGAGTTTTTAAACCATGCTGATGCCCAGGCCCCACCCCTGACCGACTGATTCAGAACCTCTGGTGGTGGGGACCTGGCATGGGTATTTTTTCAAAAGCCCTTCAAGTTATTCTAGTGGACATAAGGATCAAGACCCACTGGCACAGACGATCTCTAAAGTTCCTTCTAGTTCTAAACATATACAAATGCCAAAGTCTTCTGATTTGAAAGAAAAAAAAAACTGCAGTTGATTTGGTTAAAGCTGAACTGATCTACTCATCAAAAGACACCATTAAGAGAGTGAAAACAAAAGCCATAGATGGAGTGAAGATACTTACAATATACACATCTGACAAAGGACTTGTATCCTGAATATATAAAGAGCTCCTACAAACCAATAAGAAAAAGACAAACAATCCAATGAAAAGGCAAAAAGCACTTCACAAAAGAGGATATCCTAGGGGCCGGCCCAGTGGCATAGCTGTTAAGTGCACACATTCCACTTTGGCAGCCGGGGGTTCACAGGTTCAGATCCTTGGCATGTACCAACGCACTGTTTGTCAAGCCATGCTGTGGCGGCGTCCCATATAAAGTAGAGGAGGATGGGCACAGATATTAGTCCAGGGCCAATCTTCCTCAGCAAAAAGAGGAGGATTGGCATCGGATGTTAGCTCAGGGCTAATCTTCCTCACCAAAAAAAAAACAAAAAAGAGGATATCCTAAAGGCTGCTAAACCCACGGTCATCAGGGAAATGCAAATTGAAGCCATGAGATACTTACTCAGGAGAATGACTAAATTTCTTTCTTCCTTTCTTCCTTCCTTCCTTCCTTCCTTTCTTTCTTTCTTTCTTTCTTTCGTGAGGAAGATCAGCCCTGAGCTAACATCCATGCTAATCCTCCTCTTTTTGCTGAGGAACACCGGCTCTGAGCTAACATCTATTGCCAATCCTCCTTTTTTTTCCCTCAAAGCCCCAGTAGATAGTTGTATGTCATAGTTGCACATCCTTCTAGTTGCTGTATGTGGGACACGACCTCAGCGTGGCTGGAGAAGCAGTGCGTCGGTGCGCGCCCGGGATCCGAACCCGGGCCGCCAGTAGCCGAGCGTGCTCACTTAACCACCAAGCCACGGGGCCAGCCCCAAGAAGGACTAAATTTTAAAAAATTGACAGCAGCAAGTATGGCAAGGATGTGAGGCAACCAGAACTCTCATACATCTCTGGAGGAAGCATAAGTGGGACAACCACTTTGGGAAGCTATTTGGTAGTGTCTACTAAAACTGAATGTGCAAATATTCTATGACCCAGCAATTCCACTCCGAAGGACATAGCCAAGAGAAATGAATGCAAACAGCTGCCGAAGACATGTAGAAGAATGTTTACAGCAGCTTCCTTCGTAAGAGTCCCACACTGGAATCAACTCAAATGTCAGTCAAATATAGAATGGATAACTGAACTGGGGAATTTTCATGCAATGGAATATTATACAACAATAAAAGAAAGAACTATTCCCTTACACAATAGCATGGATGATTTTCAGACATTATGTTGAGTAAAAGAAGCCAGACTCAAAAGAGTACATACTTTATGATTCTATTTATATGAAGTTCAGGAACAAGCAAAATCAGTCTATGGTATATAAATCAAGATAGTGGCTATTTCTGGTGGAGGAGAGCTGTTCACCAGGAAGGAGCTAGAAGGGGACTTCTGGGTGCTGGAAACATTCTAATGTTTGATCTGGTGCTGGTTAGGAGGGTGATTCATGTGTAAATATTCAATGAGCTGTACACACAAGATTTGTGTACCTTCCTGTATGTATGTTATACCTCAATAAAAAAAAATAAAAGTTGAACTGAGTAGTGGATTTGCTAGTTAAACCTCCAAAACCAATATATTATATTGGGTTTTAAAACTCTGGAACTGAATTTTTTTAGTAGACTTTTTTTGAGGAATAATGTTAGATTTACAGAGAAGTTGCCAAGATAGTACAGAGCATTCCCATATACCCCGTACCCAGTTTCCCCTAATGTTAACATCTTACATAACTGGGACATTTGTCAAAACCAAGAGATTAACATTTTTACATTACTGTTAACTAAACTCTAGACTTTATTTGGATTTCACCAGTTTTTCCACTAATGTCCTTTTTCTGTTCTAGGATCCAATCCAGGATACATTTAGTGAATTTAGTGAAGCTGAATTTTTACTGTAATTTGTGTCCTTAGACACACACGCACACACAGATTGATACACAGTTCCAGCAGGCTCTTCCTCTCCACCACCTTCCCCTAGAACCACTTCCCAAAAGAATAAACAAACAGGCAAACCCAAAGAACGTGTGTTTCAGGCCCGGCTCGCTGGAGGGAAATGTCAGAAGAAGTAGTTCAGTCTCTGAAGGCTCAGGAAGGTGGCCCCCCAAGGCAGTCAGACCAGAGTTCCAGGTCCAGGCTGTGCCACACTGGGGGCGGGGGCCTTAGCCAGTTTTGAGCCTGATGCTACTGCCTGGGACATCTGGCAGCTGGTACGGAGTGCGTGTGTGTGTGTGTGTGTGTGTGTGTGCGCGCGCGCGCGCGTGCGTGCGTGCACCCGTGTGTATGGCTATAGCACTTGCACTGCCGGGCTCAAGCTGGAGGGAGGCTGGTGGAGCGGCCTGGTTCTATACTCTGCCTGGTGGCCCTACAAGCAAGGTGCAGACACAGCGGGGAGCAGGGAAGCCTGACCTCATCAACCCACTCCCCTTAGCACAGACCGGCGAGACCTGGAGCTCCAGGGAACCCCCAAGGTCCTAGTCCTTGCGGGTATTTGACTCAGGGCTGCTACCGCCCACCTCATCTCTGAGCGGCTACCCTGTGCAGCCCCTCTGCTTGGACACCACCCTTAACCACACCCTCTGGTATGGACTTCTCGGCTTTGGTGGTCACAGGTGTCTCTCTACATTTGTTTCTCGGCCTGCCAGGAACAGTGACCAGTGACTTGCACTCCTGGGGCCTTGGGTACCAACTCTGGGAACCCACTGAGGAAGGGATTCCCAGG